TTAAAGACTTATAGATTATTTTTAATGTTTTATTTAATGGCGTAAGTCCAAAAAAGTGACATTGTAATTTTTTTTTGTGACAGGTAGAGTTTCATTATAGTTAAACTGCGAAAAGTAATATAAATTTACAGAATAAACACAGACACAATGTATATTCTTACCATCAGATATGTTAGGCCTTGGTAGTTGTTTCCCGAGTTCAGCACCAGACTCTGAGATGCATATTCAGTTTTTTTATCCGGATAGCTAAGTAAAGAAATTTTTATCTTCAAATCTTCCTTCATACCGAATGCCTGAACCACCACTGTTTCTGAGGCTCCGACTCTCCATACTCGAGGCCCTAAAACAATGTACCTGTGTGGGGGGAAAAAAAAACAACAGATAAACTAAATTGTTATGTAATGTGACCTTAAATCCGGGAGCTTAAACTTGATTCTCTGGGCTCAAAATCCTGTCAGAGATTCCTTTATTTAGAATTAAAAGACATTTCAACATATTTCCTAACCAGAGCTGGAACTTGGCAAATAGATGCCTGTTTACAAGGGACACCTACCCAGACTAACAATGTGTACTTTTTTTCCTTTTTTGATACTGTATAACTATATTGAACTATATTATATTTATTTGTAATTTGCAGAAGCAGTGAGTCAGAGATGTTCAGACTTACTTTCTCCAGATCATGAAACACGCCAACAGAAAACTGTATTTTTATTACTTATTTTTTGGGGGCGAGGTGCCTGAGAGTTCTGCATCTACACAAATAGATGCTACAAGTGGGACATTGGAATAAATGAGAGCAGGATGTATGTCTGCAAGGGATGTATCAGCAATGGTTTATTGTTAACATGTTAAAGAGGGTTTGCAAAAAAAAGTACCAAGTATTGATGTGATGGTGACAAGCCACTTATCTGGCAGAAATTAACACTAATCGCAACTACAGAAAGGTACTGCACTGGTTTCACACAGCCACTGGCACGTTTAATGACTTGCATGATTGATTGACTTATTCTCAGTGGGACAACATAAACTAATAACCAGAATGGCCGAACAACCGTCCCAGACTGAGAATGTCCTTCTCTGAATTTGAGACAGTACACTACCTAGTGTCTTTTCATATGTTATAGTACAGGGGTAGGCAACCTTCTTTATAGTTCTGCAATATCCTTCTTTAAAACTGCTGCCCACAATCACACTGCATCTTTAAGAAGGGGGTATTGCCATTCATTTATAAAGACGCACAATTATATTTTGATCACATTAATTAATACCCCTCTTTATACACGAAAGCACCTTACTAGCTTTTGCAATGGCAGACCAGCATTGCATACTGTTGCCCAGTTTGCCATCTATAATTGTTCCCAAGTTCTGTTTATTTAATGTTATCCATAAATCAACCCCAGTTAATGTATATTTTGGAATAAATGCATGACTGTACATTTATCTGTATTGAATCCCATCTTCCACTTGCCTGCCCAGTCCCCCAAGTTATCCAAATCCCTCAGTAGAGAAGTTAGGGAGAGTTTAAAATGACAGGACGAAAACAAACACAATGAAATATTTGGCTAAACAGATATGTAAAAAAAAAAAAATGAAAAAAAAATTGAAAAAAAAAAATTACACTGTAATATTGCCTAAATAGAATATAAATAAAAATACGACTGCAATCAAAATCCATTCTGTCCATATGAAAAATATATATTTATAACAAATAAATGAATGCATTTCAGAATACAAACTGATATTTACTTACGTTCTTTCTTGGCAATGGATGTTCCCATAGAGAGCAAGTAGGAGAGCGATTTGTAATAAAATCATTGTTGGTGAAATTTAGATGAATGAGTGCGATGACATGAGTTATGAATTAAAGGTATATGTGTCTTTTCTATAAAGTTCCGAGGTTTAAAAAGTTTTCAATTTTGCTGTGGTGACTGGTAGTCAGCTAGAAGACAGAGGAATGAAATCCTCCAGTGTTTTGGAGGAAACTGCCCAATTCTGCAACTTTGCCCTGTAGTTTAGAGTTTGGCTGATAAGGTTAGGGATTATCTGTTGACCACGATTACAACAGAAACCACTGCATGCAGGGATACTAGGCAAATACGTGCTAATGACACATTGTTACGGAGAGAGGTGTCAAGTGCATTTGATATTAGTCAAATAAAAATAGCATGTGAACCCCCAAGTATTTGTGACATTGTTAAAGATCTAAATCCTTGTGTCAATTTGGGAATTAAAAACCCAAAATAGCCTGCATGCCAAAAGATTACTATTCGCCCCTTGAATATTTCTACACTTTGCTCTGTTGCTCTCTTGCAAAATCAAAATAAACTTTTACAATTTGATTTACACAACATACCTAACAGTAACATGTTACTGTTACACAAAAGTTATTTAAACAAAAAAACAAAAAAACAGCCTTTTGGGATTTTTGTCAATAGGTGGAGAAAAGACGTGACAACGCACGCTAGGCACGCCATGCTGCTGATGTAGGACGCTCTGAGTGTCTAACAAAAATTGGTAAGGGACAGGAATAGCAAACTGCATTTGATCTGTGTTCAGAGTAAAGGAGGAGGAGACTCGGCCGTAAATACATAGAGAAGGAGAGGAATACTACCAGGGAACCCCGGGAGATACAAACCAAGCCACGATATAACTTTCATGGTAGCGTATCTAGTAAGGACGCTGATACGGAAAGCCCTAGCAAGCCTATGCCGCAAGGAAAGTGTGGACCGCCAGGAGATTGACAAACGTCAGCATTAGAGTCTTTGGTCGGAGTGACGAGATAAGACCGGAAACTGATAATCCAAAGTCAGAGTAAATTATTAAAGTGATATTAGACAACTCATTTCTATATTCACTCCTCCTTTTATTTTATGAAGCAGACCATTGTGCAAAAGGAAAATCCGCAAATGGTCTATGGGCAAATGATGCATAGCCCAATACTATAAAACAAGCATTATTATTTGGAAGAGAAAGAGACATACAAATTTAGTTTCTCTCTGCTGAAAAGCCCCTTGCGCAGGAAAAGATTGAAAGAGAGGATGGAAGAGGAAAAGGAAAAAGAACAGAAAATAACAAGAGAAAGGTTATAAAAGAACACAAAATCTCATTCTTTTGAAGCACTTCGCTTGGGTTCCCCATTTTGTGTTTTGTTTTTACTTTTTTCTATTTTGGTGCTTCATTGTAATGATAGTAACTAAAAAAAAATTATTCCAAACAAGAAGCAAAAAAGGAAAGAGAGAAAACAATAGATCACAAAAGTGATAAAGGAGAGAATAGTTAGTCAGCTAGCACTTTATGGTGACAAAGATTCTGACGCACCTTTACTAATAGAGAAGGAAATTGGCCTCAGACACATTGACAAAAGAGCTTCAATATATTGACCGAGACCAGTTAAATCTGTAAAGTGGTATAAGTAGAACCTACACCTTCAGTGGAGCGCTTGAAATAGAATAAAATATATATGTAAATGGGGTAAATTGTTATTGGGATCCCACAACACTATTATACCACAGAGCCAGGACTGTAAGGCTCTGAACAAAGTGAGCACTATATCTATCCAACCTTTTTACTTGTATTTTTTTATTGACAGACTACACATTGGTTTCCTTTCATCTTTTGTTCTATTTCTGTGAGAGAACTTCAAAGTGGACGAAAGGTGTGATGCTGCCCTAAAAGCATAAAAGCCCAGTTACGGAGCCAATATATAGGCTCCTTTAAATGTGAGTGATCCTACTTCTCTACCATTTATTCTATTAAATTTTGTATACCATCTGCACTATATTGTGTCTATTTTTATCTTTTGTATGTATCATAAGTTAAAGATTTTAACAAGGTAACGTGGAGTAAGCTTACCCCATTTACATATATATTTTATTCAAATTTTATTTCAAGAGCACTCCACGTAAGGTGTAGGTTCTACTTATACCATGTTACAGATTTTGAATTTTGGGTGCAGATGAGAGGGTATTCCACACAAGTGTATAGAGCTGATGTTGTCTAGCACTTTTTTGTATACACACCCCTCCCAAAAGGAGGTGTATATTGTTTGTATTTATTGAGACCAATTAAATGCCTGTTTTGACACAAAACTGGGCAAAATCAAAGATGAAATTCATAGTATAACAGATGAATTTGAAGGAGAATTGATGAAGATAATAAATAAAATCCAATTCTTGGAAGAAAATTTTGAATATTTAGTTCTACAGAGTAATCAACAGCAGGACAAGATCTTATCATCGGAAAAAAGAATAGAACAATTATACTGAACAAAATTATAAACGCAACACTTTTGTTTTTGCCTCCATTTTTCATGAGCTGAACTTAAAGATCTAAGACTTTTTCTATGTACACAAAAGGCCTATTTCTCTCAAATATTGTCCACAGATCTGTCTAAATCTGTGTTAGTGAGCACTTCTCCTTTGTGAATCAATATAGTGAGGCATTAAAGTGAAGTGTATGTAAATAAACATTGAATAAACATACCTCATTTTTGTGAGTTACAGAATAGAAGTAAAGATAAAGTTAAACCAGTTAGGTGTACCTGTCTATACTGAACGGAAAACTGTATTTTAGGTATTATAAAAGTCAGTCAAGGGGGGCGGGGCCTGACATGGTGGATGGTTGTATTTTGACCAAGCTCCTCCACTATTCTGCCACACAGAGCGATCTACGAACTCAGTTAACCCAGTTTTGGGCACATCTTGTATAATCTTTGATGCTTTACATACCTGGTATGATGAGCAGCAGTCAGAGACCCAGCAGGAGTGTATAATATACTCTACCGGAGCTACAGCGGCCTGGTGTGCGCGAGCGGGAGAGGCGGCCGATCTCCCGGTACAGAGGTGCCCAGGACTCAGCAGCCCTTGAACAAGAGCCCCGTTACCCTCCCCCCTCGGAATGGTGGGGGTGATTCCGGCCCACTCCTGCGAGGATTTCAAGACCAAGTAGGAGTGTTAAGTAAAGGCATGGGGGATGGCGCTCTCTACCGCAACTCACCTATAATGGCGGAGACCTTGTGTTCCCCCAGAGACAGGGAAGGCTCGATATCATGTCCTGGCTGTACAGGACCTTTGCCAACTTCTGGCTGTGGCTGCAGCACAGGTTACACCATCTTTCTCCGCTGCAAGCAGGCGACCATTCACCTCGACTGCAGTCCCTGTCATCTCATCGGGAGTCCTCGGATTCAGCGGGAGAGCAGGCCCAAATATGATGGTGGAGGGAGCAGTTCAGCTCGCACAGACACAAGGCGGCACAGACACCGGTGTCAGCGCAGACCGCTGCTGGACCTCAAGTGACTTGCAAGGTAAAGAGGGGAATCCCACCGGCAGTGTATGCAATGCATCGCCAACCTTACCACGGGCTCAGGCTCCTGAGGCTCACCTACCCGGTGCAGGACTGGACATAAGCTGACTTGGGCTCTGGGACTGTGCAAGCATGGGCTCCTGGGGAGTCACCTTGTTCTCTTGCTGGTGTCCTGGTGGGGCAGCTGTGGTATTTCTGGCTTACTTGCTGCTTTTGGCATATTCTTTCCTAATGATTATTGTCTCACCTTTAATGGTTAACCCTCATTGTTTGCACTAGCACATATTATCATCTCAAATATAGGGGGGTCTCCTAAGGTGTACTCTATGCTTCTCTATCTTGTTTATCACTATATAAAAAAAAAGTGCAGTAATTTTAACATTCTATGCTCTATTCAGAGCTACTACTATCATATAACGCTATCCAGAATGTATATGCATGATTCATATGTATGATTCTCAATGCACTACTAAAATAAAGAATTTAAAATAATGAAAATAAGAAAATTCGGTCAAGGAGTTAAGCATTAGCACTAACATATCTACACTAGCATATACATGAGTGATGGCATACCACTGTGTGATGAACTAGGCCTAGAGTATACATCTATTTTCCCTTACTTATTTTTTTCCCTTCTTTTTCATTCCTTCCTTTCATTTTTCCCTTTTCCTTCCCTTTGACAAACTTTATCTGTATTTTGTGTATCATCACTCCAACTCTAGCCAAGATAATTGAGAAATATATACAATAGCTTAAATATCACATCTCTGAACCAGATAACGTGTTGGGTTATGAGGCTTAATGTGCCTCTGATAGCGTTACATTGAGTCAGGCTGTGTTCCTTGCTAGGGTAGTTCCAGAGTGAAGGTATACCGTGTCTGTTAGTATTTGGTTTAGGTAGTGGTGCCAGTGTTGAAAGAAGGCCCCCTCCGAGCCCGTGGCTCTCCGCTTCCCCCTAGTAGTGCAGAGCAGGTTTCAACCGATTATGTGGAGGCGGTATATTTTGAGATGTTAGTAACTGTTTAATCTGATGTATTTCAGTGTGTAGTTCCATTATAGGGCAGGATCCCTTGCCCATCCTTGTCCTCCCACTCAAGGAGTTGTTGGTGTCTTTTTGTTGTATTTTTTGTACGTTATGTCCTTGGGGGTACTACTATTAAGATTTACATGTCTTATCTGATTTATTGAAATAATTTCTTCTAAGCTTCTAATGTATAAATGACGTGTTATATTTAGAATTAAGGACACTACTCGTTTGAACGTCTGTTTTTGTTTCATATGATCTTGTTTATGATGTAAAAATGTAAATTAAAGATATAAAACAAAACAAACAAACAAACAAAAATAACAACCTATTGAAACTGACGTGGGTCGAGATTTCTGACGGGTCGGTCGAGTTGTCTCAGGTTTACCCAATTGTATGGCTCAAAGCATGTCCATTCTAGCACATGTCTCTCTGCTATGACATTCATACTATCATTACAAATCTTAAAGGATAACATATCATCCTTTATGTAACTGTGAACAATTTACAGTATTGCTTGTTTGTAGGTTGATTAAAAACGCCACCACCATGATTACTATCGCCCCTGAGCCAGCTCCAAAACCTGTACCAAAGGTTGAGCCACCTCCAAAACCTGTACCAAAAGGTACCTGAGCCGACCCAAAAACCTGTACCAAAGGGATCTAAGCCAGTGCCAAAACCTGTAGCAGAGGGACTTAAGGCAGTTCTAAATCAACCAAAGTCAGGACCACAACTGGTTCCACTTCTTGATTGCCTCATTCAGCTTTTGGAGAAAGATGCTCCTGCATTGCTGTAGAACGTAGGAAATATTCTGTGCGATTACAGGGTTGCCCAGAAAGAAAAACCATTGCTCTTTTTAATAATTTCCTAAACCAAGTGGAAATTATTCTGGTGGAAGTTGGTTTCTCTATGAATAACCTCCTGGGCAGAAAATTGTCAGTGACTACTCAAAATGTTGAATATTTATCTGAACCAGTTGCCGTTGTTTTGTTCCAATTTGTGGAAGACATTATTCAATGAGTAATTATAATTCTGGAAGATATCCAAATAGTTTGTGACTTTGTCATGATGTTCCTTTGACTCACGACATCCAATATCTTGCATGTGGCATGCTGGAAAGTGTGCTTCAAAAAATATCTCACATGCTGACTATTGTGGCTGATATTACTGGAGGAATCACCAAAATCATTGCAGGGCTATAGAGTCCAACAGTGAATTGCAGCAATGGGCTGTTGAATTATTAATTGAAGAATCTACCGTTCACTACTTTCTAAATGTCTTGTTCTTTTGGGCAAAGAAAAAAAATTGAAATAAAAAAACAAAACAGCCTTTTGTTGGTTACATGTCTATTGATGCACCTTTTACAATGAAAACTGTAAACAAACACTGGTGCAACCAATGGTCTTCAAAATTCAAATGGAGCCCACCTGAGTGCAATTAGAGTGCTGCATGATCTTAAAACAAATATACCAGTTTCAGACAGCATCATTAAAACTAAGAATCTAAAAAAAAGTTGGACATACAGTTCTGTGGAAGGTCTCGTCAAGATTGAGTTACAAAAAAATATTCCCACTCCCAGAGCATCCTCCGAGCCCCGTTAAATCCAATATTAGTATGGCAAAAGCACAATTCTGCCATCCAATAAAATTTAGAGATTGTATTAGCCAGAGAAGCAGCCAAGGAAAGATCTGGAAAGATCTGTAGGTGTGTTGGAAATTTATTTCTATTAGAAGAACCTGTTTCAATTTCTAAGACATGTGAGACTAGGGCAGAGGTACGTCTGCCAGCAGGATAATGACACTACACACAAAGCCAGTGCTTCATTGGAGTGGTTTAAACCAAAACCCTAAATATCCCACTCAAAGCCAAAGTCTTCAAGCATATCGAGACTTTTAAAATAACTTTTTACACAGTACACCACAATCCAATAGAAAAAACAGGGATAGTGCACGGGTAGAACCTGTCAAGTTAGACGGTACACCACAAACCAATGAGCTTGATCCATTAGAAGAATCCATGGATAGAGCACGAGTAGATTCTGTAGAGTTGGACAGTACACCACAAACCAATGAGCTTGCTCCATCAGAAGAATCCATGGATAGAGCACGAGTAGATTCTGTGGAGTCGGACAGTACACCACAAACCAATGAGCTCTTCTCTTTATGACAATCGTGTTTTTATCAGCCATCGTTACAGCAGAGAAAGCACATTCTCCACCACCTTGGTTGACTGTCTTAGATGGGACTGCAGTTGAGTAGTTGCGTCTTATGTAGCCAGTGCCACTCTCCTGCTTGCCATATACTACACACACAAGAACCTATATCTTCCAGCTTTAGTGCAATTTGTACTGCCCATCATGAAAATAAGACATAGTGGAGGCGCCCTATTACAGAGGTGGTCTGCATCAATTATGGGGACTACCAAGGTTAAAGGAGAAAAGAAGTTAGGGATTTATGTTAAATTAGGTCTACCTTCCATGCTATCCCACTCTAAGGGGCAGATGTTTTGCTAGACAACATGAGTCCTATACCTGGTATCGATACCAATAATATAAATGTTATAGAAAATGTTCAGGCAATACTAGATTGTGTACTTATTTATACAGCTCCCAAACTAGCACTATGCAACAAATGTTCCAAACATCAGTTAATAGGCTATGGCATGTAGTAATGGAAAAATGATATGCTCACCGGATAGTTAATTTGTTTCTGTATAGCTTTTAGTAAAGCATTCATTATCTCTTTGGCACATATAAGGAACTCATTGCAGGGAATAAAGATAAAAGCACCCAGATCTAGGCATCGGCACAGAAAAGCCTTAGGAGGGGGAATCGGTAACTGACAAGTCCCTATATGGTTTCCTATTGTTAACATATGTAGCACATAACTTTCTGGTTGCTGCATGGACCCTTTAAATGGAGAGGCTTAAAAATGATGAACCCAGGAGGGCTACATAAAATCATTGTTGCTCTGCAGGAATTGGATACAGTTTTATCATGTTCAAGCTGGATCACTTGAAATACTGAACTCGCTGTTTATCCGCTGCACAGCACTTTATTTAACTTCCTGGGCGCACAGCATTTTGATTGCAAGCCACGAGCATTCAATATGATGACGAGTAACAGTGTTTGTTCCTGCGTACAATACGCTGTACTGTATCCATATTCACACTCTAAAATCTGTTTCTTCAAATAAGCTGTGACTGAAAAATGTATTTATGAATAGTAAAAATTGTCCTAATTTTTTTTTAAATCTCAATGCTTTTGATTGGAAAATTTAATTAATCTTTTTTTACTTAAATCAGGACTGTGGAACAGAATTGCTAATTTCAGATTGTTGTGTTTGTTCCCCTGTCACTTTGCCATAATTCCCTGTTTAAAGGACCACTAGCAGTACCATAATCCTCTAACTGGCCAGGATAGCGAGGGAGCTTCCATTACCTCTCTTGAGCCAATCCCTGCAGTACAGAGCTGGCTCATTGACTGAGAGCATGAGAACAATGTAGTAGTTATGGTGCTTGGAGTATACCTTTAATGAACGAACATGATTATTTTGATTTGTTTCACCTCACCTTGTATTTGGTGAAAACACAAGTCAACACTTTTACAAAATCTTCCTTTTGTAAACACATGGTTAAATATCAGTACATGCTATCAGTTTACTTTGCAGGTCATTTCACACAACTAACTAGTCCACAAAGCAAGTAAACACGAGTTGTGAAACCAAAACCTAGATTAAACAAACTAATCACAAGTCTTTACTGGAAACCTTGTTTAATGAATAACCTTACAAATATTGACCTCAAAATGAACAAACTTGAGCATTTCTTTTCATTTAAATCCTACTAGCAAACAGCTGTGCAAAGTATACGCTCGTTCCTGAGAACTTTGTAAATGTGCAGACCCATATAAATGTAATAAATTAAAGAGCCCCGGTCACCAGCCAAAAACACTTTGAGCACATCATGAAG